TCAGGATATTTACCATTAGTAATAATATCAATTCTAGTAGATGGAATTCTAGGTTCATATACTGAAGTTTCATAATTCGAACTAATACCATTTGATTTAGGATTAATAACATTGAATATTCTACTTGTATTATATGCTTGTGGATGCAATTCATATTTTTTTAATTGTGAACCATCACCATTATCATTACCACCATTGCCACCACAATTATCTAAAACTTCATTTTTATAAACTTTAGTTGAATAATTATCAGAAATCTCCAAAGCTCCAAAATAGTTGGTCTTTTAGATGGATCAGCATCCCAACAATTTTGCATCATTTGTTTATATATAATCTTCTGGCATATTCAACAAATTTTCTGGTCTTAATCCATCATAAGTATTCAAAACTAAATCTATATTATGAGGTCTATTATCAAATGGTGGATGTCCAGAAAATATTTCCCACATTAACATTCCATGCTGTAAATATCTGATTCTTTTGTGCTTTTCCCCCCTTGAAAAAGTTCAGGTGCAATATATGGCATGATCCCATAAATTTATTTGATGATTTATCATCAACTGGCCCACACAATCCTAAATCTGTAATATAACAACAATCATTATCTACTAGTATGTTACCACTATGTAGATCACAATGGATTAAATCTTTATCATATATACAATATAATGACTCACATAAATAGACAAAAATTGTAATTCTATCTTTTAAAGTTAATTTTAAATGATTTTTTTGTAAATAATCTCTTAAATTTCCTTCTTGTATATGATTAAGAACCATCGCATAATTTCCATTATCTGGGAATTTAGTTATACCATGGTATTTAACAATCATATCTGTTTTAATTTTACAATAATTTAATGCCTGAAATATAGATAAACTCAATTAATCTAAGATTATATTATAATATACAAACTATTTATTTGTGTTTTAAATGAAATTACTACTGACCTCATCAAAAAAAACATTTCCAATGTTATTTGAATTATTTAAACATTTTAAAACTACTAACTGAGGTCCAAAATAACTAAATTCCTTTTTATCTTCATCATAATCATTTATATGTCCTCTTGTCCATGTTGCCACATGAATACTACCAAATCCTCCTTTAGTTAAATATTCAATATTTTTGAAACGATCAAATGGGATCCATTCCATTATATTTCTTGGGGGAGCTGAGAGTTTTTGGCATTGTTGAATAAAACCATCAACAATTTTATTTCCTGAAGTCCAAGTATTAAAAGGTTTTGTAGGTGTAAGCTAATGCAGTTTTCACAAAATCTAGTAGAATATTTTGTTGCATTACATCTTTTACAATTGTGTGGTTCACCACTTTTGTGCATTGCATACTTTATTCCTTCAACATAAATATATCTTTCCTCACAATATTGTTTTTCATTTTCTAAAAGTTCTTTGTTTTCACTTAATAATGATAAAAATGTAGCCTTTTCAGTTTCTTCTAAAGAAGTATTTGATGAATCATTGTTATAAGTATCAGTAGGTAAAAGTATATATATGCTTTTACCCACTTGCATTAGACTGTTACATACTTATGATTAGACTGTTACATACTTATGATTAGACTGTTACCTAATTATTTTTGGGTACCCGTTTTGGTGCCTATTTGGCTTGATATTTGCTTCCTTTTGATGAGGTTTTCGGCTTTCATTGGTCCTTTGATTGCTTTCATCACCTGAGGCTGAGGCACGAAGTGCCGATTGTGAGGGCTATACCCGAACTGGATGCAAAGCATCCTGGTTTGCAAACCCGCAATGGTGTAATTATTAATAAATTAGACTATTTCGTGGTCGTCTGCGTCTTCGAGTTTGTGCTAGCATTTGGATGAAAAAAAGTATGTGCCCGGTATTGATTGCGGGTTGATGAGCGGAGTATATATTTAAGAAGGCGTCTGATTTTTATGTGCACTTTTAGTGATCGTTATGGATGTCAATAACGATGGACTTTTGTCAACCCCCGAGACGAACGTTGGTAAGCAAACTTTTTGGATCGCACTCCATGCCAGGTTTGAGGCACAAAGTGCTGAATTCCATCTATTTGGCTCCCATGGCCAGTTTCTAACATTTCCAAAAGTGGTACTCAATGTTGATCGCGAACCATGGTTCACGGTAATCACGTTTGTTACATTGGCGTATTTCTCGGTTTTGGTCACACTCGAGGGTGGTGCATTTCAAAAAATTGGCCACGCTTGGCTTCCGATTGTTACCACTACATGCTAAGCATACTCTGGTCACATTCGAGGGTGGCGTGATCTGGCTTTGTATCTTGAATTCGAATGCCAAGTTTGAGGCACGAAGTGCCGAATTCCATCTATTTGGTAGGTCGCAAAAGCAAAATTTTTTCTTTCTTTTCCTATATATAATTCTACCTTTGCGTCCTACCAATTGTTTGTGCTACTGGGTTCTAAAATGCTTTCTCGTGTAGTCAATACTTTTGGGCACTACCGATTCGAAAGAAAATTGGGTCATACTAATACTATATCAAAAAATTGTTCTTACTTTTGCGTACTACCGGATCAAAAAATTTATTCTTATATACGACCCCTGACAATAATAATGTAATATTCATGCATGTTTATTTGTGCGATTAACCAAAATTCGATCGATTAGCTCATGTACATTCGTTTTTTTTGGCTTTTATCCATACGTTTTTTATTTTTAACTTTTCAGACACAAAGTGGCTAGATTCATGATTTGGAAGTTTATAGAAAGAAATCTTTAACATTTAAAAAGGTGATTTTTACCAATATTCTCTTGTAATAATATTTTACACAAAAATTATTATTTTTAGCGTGTAACACAATTTATGATAGCCTTTTTCCTGTTGATCTTTTTTGCAAAAAAATAAATTTTTTTCTGTGATGTCTGATATCTCCGAAAAGGAAGGGTTTGATTACTTTGTTCAAACTTTGGTAAACGATTGGGATCCATTAGGTTATCATGTTTTTTGGGAAAACACTTTATCATTGGAGCCAGATAAAGCAACGGTAACAAGAGCTTTCAATGAACAAATCGAATGGTTAATAGCAAACGGCGCCAAGGACAAACAGGAAAAAGCAAAATACCTAAAGAAACAATTTCAAGTAATAATATATTGGCTGTAGGGACCCGTGGGACTACGTCTCCTGCACGGTACTCCTGCTACAGACCAATTATTCTGGTTTTGAACATTGTAGGGACCCGTGGGATTACGTCTCCTGCACGGTACTCCTGCTACAATCTGATCCACTAGACCATTTTAATTATATTAATTTATTTCTTAGCTTGATTCACAGAAAGGTGGTCCGGTATATCTTTTTTGGGCAGAAAAAATGCACGTTACAAAACTCGGAGGAATTGAAAAAAAAAGCATCTCTGAAGATTCGAAGCTTTCAAGTAAAATAGAATAAAATATTATGGTGATATATAATGTATAATCCTTTATTTTTATTTTATTATTATTTTCAAAATAGGCGCAACACCATCTTTCTGTCGCCAATCGTATTCTTACAGGGAGCGATGAAGCAATTTCAAGAGAAAATGAAGACACATTTGAAGGAAATTTACCAGAATTTATATTTAATGTAAGCCACAAGATGTTCTTTATTTACGGTTCTGAATGACAATAGAAATATGCTATAATAAGATGAATGCCCTATCAATTTAACAACAGACTACTCAAGAGACAAATCAAAATGCTCAGTTTGATTCTGTACCATGCAAACGCTCTTCTGATGATGATCTTAATCAAGTATGTCATTATTTAGATACATAAAAAATCATGAATTGATTAACTTAATGGTTTTTTTCACACAGAACTTCAAGAAACGTTTATTAGGTTTTGATTATTATTCCGATAGCTCTACTTCTACTGAAGAAGAAAAAAGCAAAACTGAAGCTGAAGATTCAGATGAAGAAGGGGAAAGGATTACCAACTTTAGTAAATTTACATTTGATGAGACATCGACACACTTAATGAGAAGGGATGGGTTTTAAGCGATGGAGAAAAAGTCAGGGATATTTTACTAAAAATGACATCAAAAAAAATCGAAGAAGTAAATCAATTAAAGAAAGTGGATAGAAAGACTCTGAGCGTCATAAGGTATATCATGTTTGTTAAGATTATTCCTAATATTTATCCAGATTTAAAAAAAAGTAGATCGACCTAGAGTACTCATTAAGAAGACATCCGATGAACAATCCCGATCCAAAGGCAAGAAAGATGCATATTCTTCAGAGAGTAAAGAGATTCAAGTTTCTCCTCGAGTATCACTTCAACTTTACTAGAGAGACGAATGTGTGAAATCATTCAAAGTGAGCTTGTAAATTCCACTTTATTAGATGAGGCTATAAGTAAAATCTTACGAAATTTTCTGAAATCTAGTACCACAAATGATACACTCCAACAAGGCGAGACTGAAGATGAAGAAGTTGTCGAAGATATGGAAATTAACTTTGTTCAAGATAAAGATGTGATAGATGTTCCAACTGTTTGGGGTAAAATCAAACGTCTAGTACTTTCGGCAATTACAGTCGATCCCGGCTCTAATACTTTACTTATGTCTAGGGACATTGCTGAGCGCTTGGGTTTAAAAATTGACGAAAGCGTGAAGCATACTCTTCAGGGGGCGGCCACTGTTCTGACCAAATCTATTGGAATGGTTTATAATGTACCATTAACCCTAGCTCCTGGCTGTGTATTTCATTTAGACTTTGTAGTCATTGAATACAAAAAGTCTATGTTAATATTGAGCAACCCCTTCCTTAAAAAACATGATTGTGCAATGGATTGGGCTAAATCCGAAATGAAGCTTCATTGCAATGGAAAAAATTTCATCATCCCAGTTACTATGCATAGAGTTGAAAATGAGCTTGAGGTACACCATGTTGATGCAATTCCTTGTATTTCCGAAGAGCCAAGTGTAGAGTTAAAAAAAAAGCGTGAATTGCAAGAGGTATGAGAAAGAAATATGGGTTGCAAACGAAGTTATAGCCGATCTTAAGTCCTGTCTTCTTATATATATCACAAGGTAGGTGGTTTTTTATGTCCAGCTTTTAATAATATTTTTTCAGCACCTTCTACTTCTCTTCTAAATGACTCGTGCGCATCTGAAATATATGCAGAAGAAATATCACTCCGAGATTCTGCTGAATTTATATGATCTATATTTTCAGAAATAAGGGGAGAAGATATTTGAGTAGGTTTTGATTTCGGTCTTCTTTTTCTAGATGCATGGACAACCATCCCTTTGAGAGGCTTTATTTTGGTATGTATCAATATGAAAATTAGAAACTATTTTGGGAAAAATGAAGCTCTGATTCCGAATCTTTACTTCTTGCTACTGAGATTTTATATGAGGAGTATTCTTATTCATAATAGTTTCACAACTATCTTGATTCAAATCATTTTCATTATAGAATTGAGGTATTGGTTGATCCCAAGCAACTCTTTTAGTTTCTTCACCTCTCCAAATCTGATAAATACGTCTTGATGATGTTTTATACTTATCCATCAAGTTCATCCAAAATTTTATTCTTTGGTCCCATATTACGACATTCCATAATATAGGAATAATCTTCAGCTGAAAATAAAGGTGAATCAGATTTTATACGCACTCTAACCATAGCAATGAGATATTTTTTTTTTGTAGTATGTAGAATATATCGGAAAAATAGATTATATCGAAAATATAGAATAAGTTGGAAAATTTGATTATATCGAAAATATAGAATAAGTTGGAAAATTTGATTATATCAAAAATATAGTGAATATGTATATAACAGAAAAAGGAATATTTGACGTGAACCAGTGGTATATCAGTGCCAAAAAATGGATTATATAGAATATGTCGGAAATATAGATTATATCAAAAATATAGAATATATAGAATATATCGGAAAGATAAAAATTATATATATTTTCGGAAAGAGGAACTTGCACTCATATTAATATTTATTCTTTTTTCCACACTACATGAATGTAATAGATGAAGAACTACGCTATGCCACAAAAATTATTTCCAATTTAAAAGATTGCAATAAATCATTGCAGGATGAATGTTCCAGTCAGGTAAAAAGTTTTGACCGGGAAAGAAGGACTTGGAATCGTACTTTGAAACAGATCAATGTGGATAATCAAAAAATCCGTAGTAATGCTATACAACTTATTAATGAGGTTAAACGGCTGAAGAGTGAAAATACTAGTCTTATATCCCGGCTTTCCCGTGAACAGATTTCCTATACCAAATACAAAACCAAATACGAAGCTCAATTGAGAGATATAAAATTGCTCCAGTCTATTACTAAGAAATTAGAAAATAAGTTAGCTTTAGTTCAGAAAAACTCGACAAAAAAAGATTCCGAAATCCTATCTCTCAAATCTAAAATTACTGAATCGGAAATTGAGCTGGAGCGTTTAAAATCAGATGCTATATCTCGGGTTTTACCATTAGGAGAAGCAATTAGTGGAGGTGGCGAGGGGCCGAGTCTCATTTCTTCTGCAATAGTGGAACCTTTAGATTTACTAAAGAAAAATATAGCAAATTTCGATGTTATCTCTGCAGTTGGTAAACCTAAGCCAGATTTTAGTAAGTTTTTAAAACGTAGAAAAAATATGGACCAAACAGAAAGAATTGATGTACACCAATTCAGTGATACCATAAATAAGGCTAACAATGAAGCAAAACCTCAAATACCTGATTCTTCAAGATCAACTAATATGAAGTCTTCTATCAGTGAAGGTAGCCATGTTGGTACCTCACAAATAGTAGAGATTAAAGATTTTTCGGAAGATACCGTTTCTAAAACCGATTTCATTGGAAATGATCAAAGCCACACAATTAAAACAGAAATGGCCGAGATATTTCCTGTTGGAATAATACCTATTGTAGGAAGTAATCTATTCTCACCCAAGTTTATGTATGCAGTTCTCGCTTTTTTGATAGTTGTAGTGATATGGCTCATTATAGTAAAGCCTATAAGTGAAGCAAGAAAAAAAGATAAATTTTTTGATGACGAAAAACATTAGATACTAAATATATATTCCCAGGTAATGAAAAGAAATGCAATCTAAGCTTTTCGAATTAGTAGACTTTTTGGATCCAATCTTACAATATCTAGCAAATGACAAAGCTCTTTATCCTACCTTATATGTTAACCGGTTTTGGTATTGCATCGCAGGACAAACCCTATGGAAGCATATTGAATTGGATTATACACGACAAGCAAAGTTTATAGAGATATGTAAAAATTTGAAACCATTCCATGGACCAAGTGTAAGGAATCTTATTTTTTCATATTACGATAGTTTGGCAGATAATAAAATCAGAATTATTCAATCATGTCCAAATATAGTGTATCTAAATTTCAATGCTATAGGTAGGCTAGCAATCAGTGATACCGCAATTATTAATATTGCTCACGCATATCCGAATCTATTAAGACTAAATCTTTTTGAATGTGGATATATTAGTGACACTACTATCAGAGCAATTGGATGTTCATGTCATAATTTACAACATCTTGATCTTGGCTTGTTCCGTCTAATTAGTGAATCTACAGTACGTATTATTGCGCGCTCATGTAAAAATCTTAGATATTTATGTTTATTCGATTGCAGTAGTATTACCGATAATACTATCAAAAAAATTGCAAACTCATGTCATAAACTAGAACATCTTGATATCTATGATTGTGGACATGTTACTGATTTGGGAATTTGAGACCTTGTACGTTCATGCCCAAAACTTAAACACCTTGAACTTGGTCAATGTATAATTGGTAATAGAGCTATTAAGGAAATCGCCCGCAAATGTGTCAATTTAAAATAACTTGGTTTGGAGGGATGTAAAAGTGTTAGCAGGGAGGCAATAGAAAGACTTAATCCAAACATCGAAGTCGAATGTCCTGATTTGGATAGCGAATGATCTGATTCAGATGGTGAATGGTCTGATGAAGAGAATGAGTAATTATTTAGAGTCATTTACAAAGCACGATAAATTTTTCAATGTGGTAGGACGCAAAAGCGTGATAAATTTTTTGAATAAAAAAAGCGAAACTGAGATTATACATGGATCAAGTAGCTGAGAATTTATTACCTATTTGAATCTAAAAAGTTTTGATTTAAATATCGAAAGTATATTAAGTTCGTAATCTATAGGATTAATCATTTCCTCTATTTCATATTCCAACCAGAGATGCAACCACCCACTCTTATTAACATGATTAATACGATTTAATACATCGCCTCTTTCTCTTTTTCTGATTAATTTATTTCGTAACATGCATCCTTCTACTTCTACTAGTTTATAGAAGGATTCATTACATTTCCCATCTAAAAATCTCATTTTGTCGTTGTGTTTTTTACAGTCATCAGTACCCATGTAGTTTCTAAATCGTCTGCCCTCTTCTTTAAGCTGTATCTCCATATATCTTACTGATACTGTTCTCCAATATTGATTTTTAAACTTTTCGCGTCTCATATGCAATTCATGTTTCACTTCCTTATACCAAGTACGGTTAATCCATAAAGCTATACTAATACTATCCAATGGGAGTTTTTGAATGATTGTTGCAATTGTATCCGGAAGCAGAAGTGGATTATACGAATGCATGTTATAGACGCTTTATAACTAGGTAGGTGAGTGGAACAAAGAGATATAAATTACATAGGAAATTCAAAACTTTAAATAAAAATTCGTGTGATGGAATTATGACGCAAAAGCGTGAAATTTTTCGAATCGGTAGTACGCAAAAGTAAGAATAAATTTTTTGGTTCGGTAGTACGCAAAAGTAAGAACAATTTTTTGATATAGTATGACCCAATTTTCTTTCGAATCGGTAGTACCCAAAAGTATTGACTACGCGAGAAAGCATTCTAGAACACAGTAGCACAAACAATTGGCAGGACGCAAAGGTAGAATTATATATAGGAAAAGAAAGAAAAAATTTTGCTTTTGCGTCCTACCAAATAGATGGAATTCGACACTTTGTGCCTCAAACCTGGCATTGAGTGCGATCCAAAAAGTTTGCTTACCAACGTTCGTCTCGGGGGTTGACAAAAGTCCATCGTTATTGACATCCATAACGATCACTAAAAGTGCACATAAAAATCAGACGCCTTCTTAAATATATACTCCGCTCATCAACCCGCAATCAATACCGGGCACATACTTTTTTTCATCCAAATGCTAGCACAAACTCGAAGACGCAGACGACCACGAAATAGTCTAATTTATTAATAATTACACCATTGCGGATTTGCAAACCAGGATGCTTTGCATCCAGTTCGGGCATAGCCCTCACAATCGGCACTTCGTGCCTCAGCCTCAGGTGATGAAAGCAATCAAAGGACCAAAGAAAGCTGAAAACCTCATCAAAAGGAAGCAAATATCAAGCCAAATAGGCACCAAAACGGGTACCCAAAAATAATTATGTAACAGTCTAATCATAAGTATGTAACAGTTTAACGCAGGTAGGTAAAAGTATATATATACTTTTACCTACTGTATCATTTGTAATTGATATTGCATTATTAACTATTTCAGCATAAATTTCATTTACAAATTGTTCTTTGTCAATTGATAATAAATTTTCATGGGACATTTTATTGCTGTATTAAAATTTCATTTGCTTTTTTTATTTTTTTCAAGTAACACAAAAAATTAAAAATTAAAATTTAAACTGGTAAAAACATTCATATTAAATAATAGACAAAGTATACTACCAAAGTTTACAGGGTTCACATTTGTAAATGTGATTTAACAATTTTATAATGTCTCATCTGTCTTTCTTAAATGGTATATAGAACTACTATATAAAAATAGTTGGATATACTATGGGACCCAAGAATTACAGTGCTATTACAAGTATTTTGAAGAAGGATCAAGGAGAAAAAATTGCTCCTTATATGATACTCTGACACTTGGAATTTATCTGAGGAAAGAAAGGATTACTTATGAAATTTACCAAGAAGAAAAAAAATAAACTGAATGGGTATAATAAACAAATTACTTTTCTTTTTAGCTTTTTAGAAATATAACACTACATATTAAAATTAAACATAATCAGATATTTATTATTTAAATTTTTAAAGTTCTTTTCAATCATCATTTTCTTCACATGTAGGTAAAGCATATTATCTTTGACATGATTATTTATTTATTTTAAACTGTTTAATCCAACTTCAAAACTTAAATGAAAATATATAACAAATAAAAGGAACATTTATTAATCATATAACAAATTTTTAAATGAAATTAACAATGATTCAGATGATTAACATGATGATGATAGAAGACAGTGGATCAACTCACCCTGTAATTATATTTAAAAAATAATAAATTAGAAGATATAATGGATAAAATAAATGATTTATTAAGAGCATTAAAAAATATACAATAATGAATGGAGATGAATGTTCAAAGAATAAATCAATAAATAATATAAAGTTTAAAGGTGAAATTATAATTTCTAACATTCTAATAAATAATTGTAATAGTCCTAAACCTTTAAAAGCAAAATTTGGTAAAATTATTATTAACTTATCCCTTCTCTTCAAATTTTTTCATCAACTTTGTCAGTCTTTTCAATCTCATCACTTGCAATGACATCTTTGTAAATTGTATTTTCCACTAATTAGAAAAAAAAAATATATTTAAATAATAAATATAATAAGCAATAATTAATCAATTAGTCAGGATATTTACCATTAGTAATAATATCAATTCTAGTAGATGGAATTCTAGGTTCATATACTGAAGTTTCATAATTAGAACTAATACCATTTGATTTAGGATTAATAACATTGAATATTCTACTTGTATTATATGCTTGTGGATGTGATTCATATTTTTTCAATTGTGAACCATCACCATTGTCATTACCACCATTGCCACCACAATTATCTAAAACTTCACCTTTATGAACTTTAGTTGAATAATCTTCAGCAAAATTCAAAAGCTCCCAAATAGTTGGTCTTTTAGATGGATCAGCATCCCAACACTTTTGCATCATTTGTTTATAATCTTCTGGCATATTCAACAAATTTTCT